TATCCTTATCTCAACTAGCAAAAACCCTTGTTCCTTCCTATTATTGCTTATACTCTCTCTTCAACAAAATTAGAGATAAGGGCAAAATAGTTTCTGCCGGGTATCGAGGGGTGGAGGGGAGAGGGAGGGGGTGGGGGCAGGGGGGAGAAATGACCCAAGCATTGTATGCACATATGAATAATAAAACAATAAAAAAATAGGCAGTGGGAAAAATGGCCCAAACAATGTATACACATATGAATAAATGAATAAAAAAATAGGTAGTAAAATATTATGTGTATAAACAACAGTTGATATGACGAGTTAACCAATTCACCAGTTTTGACCAGTATGTACATACCATATTATTTAGTAATATAAAAAAGTTATGTGGGCCATAGTTAGAAGGCTTGGGTTCTGTTTCCTTCTTTATTATCTGACAGCGCAAAGTGGGGCCAGACGGCTGTTTTCTTTTTGCTTTACCTTCCTTTTCTATAAATGCAAAATAATGTTTGGATGACATTTTGAGAAAGCACTACTCTTCTTAGGGGAAAGAGTGAATCACAATTTTTGCATGAAAAAGTAAAAATATTACCTTCCGTCATTATCCTTTCTCTGATCCCAGACTTTTCTTGCCTCCATACTTCCTGCTTTATCAAGTCTCAGCTCTATGGTGTGGCCATCAAAGTCTTCCATAATATTCACCCAGCTCTTTAACTAAGGGTCAGCTTCTTGTTTTCACTAATGTATACTTCCACCCTTGTAGGGTTATAGGGAAACACCTTTCTCTCACTGCTCTACAGCTTACTTATTCTGTAATGCTGCTTTGCTTATTTATTTGTGTGTTTTTGTGGTGTTGGGGATTAAATCCAAAGCCTGGGGCATGCTAGGAACACACTCTACCACTAAGCTACACCCCAGCCCTAACTTATCCTTTAAGAACCTCCACACATTTCTCCTCTGCTGTGAAACCTTTTCTGATCCACTCCAGTCATCATGGATCTTTTTCTGACTTTATTGTCTATTCTGCAGAGTATTTACTACTTGGCATCATAGTCTCTTTAATTTCAGACCTATTTAATAATGTCATACCAACTGGATAAGAAGATTATGGAGGATCTAAATGGCATAATTTCTGTTTTGTATTTCTTGGGTTTTTTTTTGTTTTGTTTTTTTGGTGGTATGGTGGTATGGCCTTGCTAGACGGTGTTCTACCACTTGAGCCACTGCATCAGCTCCTGTTTTGTATTTCTACCATATAATATATGTGGGGAGTGGATTATGAGAAGCCTATGAGAATTTGACATAACCACACCTGTGCCCAATAATTGGCAGGCTGAATTTGGCGTGGCCCCAGCTACAGAGGAGTACAGGATGCAGTGCAGCTGCTTTTCCTAAGTTGTTTATGTTCAGAGAAGTAGGAACACAGGTTTCTCTTGTTAACAAGGTCTTGTAACAAGTCATGCCCCTCCCCTAGAACTGTTGCTCCACCTCCTTGTTTACCACTGGATATAAAAGACTTACTGAAGGAGGACACAAGGCTTTTTGATGGGGGATTCTGATTGGCTTCTGCTGAGGCTGTTACTGGCTGCTGTGTGTCTCCACCAGAGCAGCTTTCTGCACTGAGAACTTTATACATGGGCTTTAGAAATGCTAAGGAGAACATGGGACAGTGGGAGTCTGAGCACCGAGGCGTTAAGAAAGCTAAAGAGAAAACATGAAACAGAGCAAGTCTAAGGAAAGAAATTTTAAAGAATAGAAAAGAAGCAAGGTTTTAAAGAAAGACTTTAGAAGCAAGGTTTTAAAGAATTGTAAGGAGTAAGGCCTTAAAGAAAAGATAGAGAAAAGAAGCAGAGCAAAGAGAAGTAAAAAAGCAATGAAGCTGTTGTGTGTCTCCACCCTAGTGCCCAGTACACCTGGCCCCAGCTTTATGCACGTTTGTCTATCGTTTGTCCTTTCTGCATCTCCTGTTGCCCCCAGCTTATCCCAGTTAGATTCAGTAGTAACAGGAGCAGGAGGTGTTAGGAAGGAAGTAACTATCATTTTGGTAGTTTTTTTGTTGTTGCTTGTTTGTTTTTTGGAGACAGGGTCTTGCTATATAGTCCTGGCTGGCCTTGAACTCTTGATCCTCCTACCTCAGCCTCCAGAGTGCTGGAATTGCAGACTCATGCTACCATGCCTAGCTTAAGTAGTATTTTGTACCAGTCATTTTTCTGTACATTATCTAGTATTAAGGAAAGTATTTAATTCCTTACCCCCCCCCCTCCATTTTGAGAAAAGATCTCCCTGTGTAACCCAGGCTGGCCTTAACTCACCCATTTTCTTACTCCAACTTCCCAAGTGCTGGTACTGTAGGTGTGAACCACCATCTCTGGCCTGAATCCCTGTTTTACATATGTGGAAACTATTATACATAAGCTTTCACACCTTGCTGAAGGTACCCAGGTAGAAAGTGCTGGAGCCCACATTCATACTTAAATTTTTTTAGTTCTAAAGCCTCTACTGTATGCATTATACCATGCAATTTGCATTTATATATTAATCCACTGTGATGAGTGTTGAAACAGATACGTCAGTTAAGTCAATTAACTTCTCTAAGCTTTAGGTTTTCTTTGTAATAAAACAGGCATCAAGATAGTATCTACTTCACAGGATTGATGTGATGAAAATGGGTGCTGGGCCCTAGCATTTCACCATGAACAAGGTGAAATACTATCTTGTCCTCAGAGAGCTTACTGTATAGCAGGATAGATGACTAAGAACATAGACTTTAGCAGCCATGGTAGCTAAACCTATAATCCCAGCACTTGGGAGTCTGAGGCAGGAGAATTTGTAATTTGAGGCCAGATTGGGCTACATAGTGAGATGCTGCCTCAAAAAAAAAGAAAAAAAAAAAAAGGAAGCATTCTTACAAGGCCCAAATTAGTATAAAAATGGAGATGATATGCAGCATTATGGGAATTCTAAGTATAAAGGAACCCCCCTGAGAAAATAATATTTCAGTAGCTACCTGTAAGCTGAAAGGTAGCTAAGTCAAAAAGAGAAAGTGTAATTGTATTTTAGACAAAGGAAACAGCATGAGGGACGACCAGTGGCAAAAGACATCCGTGTTCTGTGAGCTAGAAAGTATTCAGGAACACTGAAGCCATGGAAAAATAAGAAAGGGATGATGCTAGAAACAGCTTACAATGTCTTACCAGTTTGTGCTAGGGATCAAACCCAGAACCCTGTGTATGCTAGGCAATTACTCAATGTCTGAACTATATCCTGAGCCTTTGAGTATCTTTAATTGACATTTTTATTGAGGTCATTATAAATTCACATGCAGTTGTAAGGAATAATGCATAGTGATTCCTTGTATGCTTTGCCCATTTCTGCCAGTGGTAACTTTTGTAGTACAATGTCAGAACCAGAATGTTGACGTTAGTATACCACTATTCAGATATCTCCAGTTTTACTTGTGCTAATTTGTATATAACATTCTATCAAATTTCATGGCTTGTGTACATATGTGCATCCACGTTCATGATACTGAACAGCTCCAACTCCCCGAGATTCCTCATGTCACCCTCACGTAACCCCACATACCCTTCTAGTTATCTGTCATCTGGCTGCAGTCATCTGTCCTCACAGTTCTGGATGTTCAATGGCATGACACTAGCATCAGCTTGACCTTGTGAAGGCAGCATGACCCATGATAGCACAATGACAGGAGCACATGAGAAAGGGCCAGACAGGACTCCAGAGCAAGGGGAGAGCTCTGGTAGGCTTTTTTTTTTCTTATGAAAACTGGCTCATAAACCATCTTAAGAGAACTCAGGCTTAATAAGAGCAATGTTAATCCCTTCTGAGGGCAGCACCTCAATCACCTATGGGCCTCTCATTAGACTCTACCTCTTTTTAAAGCTCTCATCCTCTCAACACTTCTACCCTAAAGACGAAGGCTCTAGCACATGAAACCTTGAGCAGATATGCTCAAGCCATACCCAGTCATAAGAGAAGATGAGAACATTAGGTTTTTCTCTTGGCAGTATATGGCCCCAGTCCTAGATCATTTAGGCTGATGTAACTAGATATCTTAGGTAGGTAGGATATAGACAACATAAACTTATTTCTTGCAGTACTAGAGAAATAGTACTGTGATCAAGGCTAACTTGGTCTGGTGAGGCCCTATTTCCTAGTTCACAGATGGTGCCCACTTGCTGTGCCTTCACATGGTGGAAGAGGCACAGGAGCTTGGTTGGGCCCCTTATAAGGACACTAATCCAATTCTAATTACTTTGCAAAGGCCCTACCTCAGAATGCCATCACTGTGGGGTGTTAGATTTCCATGTATGGTGTAAACATTCAGATCACAGCAGCCCCCAGTTCTTGTCCCTCCAAGTGGTATGATACATGGGAGTATATTTGCAGAATCTTATCTTTTCTTTCTTTCTTTTTCTTTTTCTTTTTTTGTTTTATTGGTACTGGAGATCAAAGGTCTTGTGTATGCTAGGCAAGTGTCCTCCCACTGAGCTACATTCTCATCCCCTTAATTTCCGTTACTACCACCATTACCAGTGCGGGTACTGCCAATCTAAGGAGTTCATGTGAATTACCAACATCTTTTGTCATTTTGGTCAACATTGCATATTTAGGAAGCACTTTTTCGGTGTAGCATATAAGATTAGAACACCAGTGTAGGTTCATCATTGGTAGTATTTTCTTTGCAGTTTACCTGTTTGTCTTCTTTCCTTTGAGTTTGGGAAATGGGCTTTCAGTACTTAACCAGCTTTTTATTATTATTATTATTATTATTATTGTTTTATTATTCATATATGCATGCAAGGCTTGGGTCATTTCTCCCCCCTGCCCCTACCCCCTCCCTTACCACCCACTCCTTCCCCTCCCAGCTGTTTTTCTTGAAGTTTGCTTTTTTCATTTTTATTGAATGTTTAAGGAAAAGCTCTTTCCTGTAATTGGTCTGTTAGAATAACTTGATTGTGAGTTTTAAGTTGAAAATTATTTTAATGATTTGACAGGTCGGAATTCGAGGCACCAATATTGTTGTCCTTGGGGTAGAAAAGAAATCTGTTGCCAAACTTCAAGATGAAAGAACTGTGAGGAAAATTTGTGCCCTTGATGACCATGTCTGCATGGCTTTTGCAGGTATGTGTGGACCTACGCTAATGGTGCATAGTATTTTTGTGTAGTAGGGCAACACAGTTCTCTCTGCTACTGCAGTTTTGATATGGTTATGCAACATGTGTAGTAATACTGTATTTCTTACTAAAAACAGTACCTTTAAAAGGAATTCACAAGTATGTAAACTGGGATTTCTAATAATGAGCTTTGATAATAACACAAAATTTTAAAAGATGTATGCCATATCACCTTATTTGTAATTTTAGGGAGCTAGTTTCTTTTGTAACTGGCTGTGTGTTTTAAGTTTTGTTTTTTTTTGCAGTCCTGAGAATCAAACCCAAGGCCTTGCCACATGCTAGGCAAGTGCTCTACCACTGAGATATATACCATCAGCTCTAAAAATTGTACTTTGAAATAATTCTAGTCACAGGACATTTCCAAAAAACACAGGAAAGTCCACGTTACCTTTACCTGTTTCCTTCAATGGTAGCATTTTCAAGATCAGTAAATATTTGTATAATCCACACGTCACCAGTTTTCTGTGCATTCATTTGCATGTGTATGTGTGTAGTTTTATTATACTGTCACGTGTAGATTCGTGTGGTTGCATCCTCAATAAAGATACTCAGCTCTTCCATTACTACAAGTCTACTTTGTGTTATTCTTTCTTCACTTCTCTAACATCTGGCAACCACTAATCTCATCTGCATTTCTATGATTTCGTCATTATAGAGTGTTAGATGATACGTAATCTTTCAGATGATCTTCTCTCATTCAGCATGGTTCCCTTGCAGTTTACCCAGATCATTGCAGATATCACTGCACTGCTCTTTTATTGCTGAGTCGTGTTGCATTACATGAATGCACCACAGTTAACAGCTTCCCCAGGGAAGGGTATCTGGTGCACTTTCCAGTTTTTGTCTATTGTATGTAAAGTATGAACATTTGTGTACAGGTTTTTGTGGGAACATAGGGTTTCATTTCTCAGAGATAAATATCTCAGTGTGCATTAGCTATATTTTATAGTACTGCTTGCTTAGTTTTATAAAACACTGCCAAATTGTATTCCAAAGCCTCTATATTACTTTACAGTCCCACTGTCATTGTGTGAGTATTCATTTTCTCTGCATTCTCAGTAGCAGTTCATGTGGTTACAGTTTTGTATTTTAGACATTCTTATAAGAATGCACTGATACCTAATTGTGGGTTCAATTTGTATTTTCCTTATGACTAGTGGTGTTGATATTTTTTATGTGCTTATATGCCTCTGTACAGTGTCTCATCATTTTGCTCATTTTCTAATTGTGTTCTTAAAACTGGAATGTTATACTAAAAACTTTACTTGCCAAAAAAATAGCCTTTACCTCACTGCCTCATGGGATCATCTGGCTACAAACAGGTCTCAGCAGAAAAGATTGAAATCATACAGTATATCTTTTCTGATCAAAATGAATGAAACTAGAAATCAATAACAGGAAGAGAACTTAAGAATCCACAATATATGGAAATTAAATAATATATTCCTAAACTACCTGTGAGTCCTAAACTAACCCATAAACATGGGAAATTAACAGATGTCTTGAGAGAAATAAAAATGAACATATAAAGTATCAAAATTTACAGGATATAAAATAGTGCTAAGAGGGAATTTTATAGTTGTGAACACTTAACATTAAAAAAGAAACTGTAAGGTACTGCTGAATAAAAACCATGCCACGTGTGGAAAAGAAAGATTTATTTGGATCCAGACTGCAGGGCTGCCCCTTCCCCTCCCCCCCACAGAGATCAGGGAGCAGTGGCTTGGCTGAAATGAGTAGTGTGCTTTATAGGAGGGCCCAAGCCATAGGGAAGGGATAGAATTTCTGGTCTGATTATTTGTGACCACCAGATGAAACAGGTCGACATGCCTGGATAGTTGAGTAACTAGAAGTTCTTGAGTTGTTTTGCAAGCCAAGAAACAAACAATCAGAGAAAAGGCAGGGGAGTTGGGCAATCAGTCATAAATCAGGGGGTCTGGTTTCAGTGCTAGGCTTCGGACCTTCCACCTGCCCCAAGAATGCCAGGGACCTAACATTCCAGCCTTTTGTTGGTATTATGGGCACTGATCAATGTAGCTGCTTCATGCTGAGTGGGGTCATCGTTAAGGGGGGTTCGGCTGGAATTTGGAAATTTGTGGCGTTCCCAGGAGTGGAGGCTGATGGTTTTTCCCAGGCTTCATTTGTAGACAAGGCCAGTTGTTGGGAGAAGGTTGTAGTAGCATCTGGTGGGAAGTCTGTCTGCTGAGTTCCCTGAATGATCCTGAAGGTATCTAGGATTAAAGAGTATTTTCCTGGTTTAAGGGTTTGTATTTCCATAGCATCATTACATGTGCAGCTGTTTTTCTTTCTATGGTAGCCTCTATAATGGACCTAATAGATCGTATAACCAAGGGAAGGAAGCAGGGAAGTATTTATGCATGCTCCCAGAATTAGGCCACTGCCCCTACCAGTGTTTTAAATCCACCTATGGCAGAAAACCATCCTCCAAACAAGCTTTTAGGATCCCAGCTTTTCCAAGTCTGGACGGGTACATGGGCAAGCTTTGTCGTTCCCTCAGTGATCTCCTCTATGGAACTCTCATGGGTAACAGGTGTTAACTTAAGGAGTAACAGAGTCCCGGGGTCAAAGCCTTGGCCATCTATCCTTACATGGCCAGGAGTTGTCTCCCTGGCACATATATTTTTCATTTGATGTATAGGTCCTTTCCCAACCCAGGCCCCCACAGCCACAGCCTGTACCTCCACATAGCTTGTCTATGGCTGCACATGTATCAGACACCTGCATGTGAGTAACAATGTTCCCAGCAAGGTGGCCACTCCTGAGTTCTAACCATTGTTCCACAGGGCGATAAGTGGGGTTGAAACAGGTAAATTGATTATCATGGGAGCACACTTGATAGATGGTGTGATTGTGAGTGCATGACCCAATAACAGAGCCTGCACAAGAATAGTAAGTGTGGAACAGTCAAGTCTTAGTAATAATACGTCCTGCCCAGCAATGTGCGTGCATGGGTCACAGGAGGAGGATTTCTGGGCTGCGAAGGGAAAGCAGATCGAGACCCAGATGAGGACTAAGAGCTTATGTAAGAGTGGAAGATAGAGTTTACAGGAGAGGAGTAGCCACATGGGGCCCAGTGGTACGCAGGAGTACTCATCCTTTGCTGTAGTGGAAGAGTCTGAAGTTGGTGGGCACTATTTTATCCTTGAGAGGTGCTGCCACTGGGGGGGTCCCTTTGAGCTTGACAGTGGTGGGCATTGTGAGGATGACCAGATGAGGGCTGGTCTACCGAGGTCCCAGTGGAGAGGGTCAAGGATCCTTGAGGAGAACAAGATCTCCTGGTTTAACAGAAATTGTTACAGGGACCTCTGAGGGGTGGGGCAGGATCTGGTCTGCCTGCTGTCTGAGAAGTTCCCAGAGGAGGTTAAGATAAGGCAGATAGTCAGCCAAAGGAGCAGAGTCTGTTGGAGGCAAGTTTCCTAAGAGAAATGGGTGGCTGTCCATTATTTAAAAGGGGCTCAAGAAGGAAGGGCTTCAGGGAGCCTGTCCCTTTAAGACTACACCTAGGTAGGTGACCTGAGGGAGACATAATTGTTGCCTTCTCCTTAGAGACTTTGTATCCCCGGAGGCCAGAAAGTTTTTTTTTTTTTTTAAAGGACTTAGATGAGGGGCTCTGTGGCTCTGCACTGAAGTAAGTCATATTGAAGAAGGGTGGCCTCTGGGTAGTGCCAATCTAATAAGTCTCTGGTTAGGGTCTGTTCAAAAGGATGAAGGCTGTCTTTAAACTTTTGTGACAAAGCTGTCCAGGTTAGTTGCTATGAAGGGTTTGTGGAATCTTTAAAGGCAAATAGGGGCTGACTATCAGAATGCAGGTTAAATGTAACATTTTTGGATAAAAGAGAGCTTTAGGTCATTATTTTACATAAACTGACACTTTTAACTTTGTAAATGTAATATATTTAGGTAAATATAGACACAGAACACAATTATAAGATGGTCATTTAAGACACATGAGCAAATATGTAAATGAACTCTGATTTAGTAGTACTTAAAGCTTGACAAGATCAGTAGAAATAATTTCTTTGATAAAATGTTTCCCTATAAGTTTTTTGTAGATGTTATTTAGAGCAGAACAATATTAAGATAACCTTGTTATTTTATAGACATAGAGAATTTGATTTTAGTTTGACATGACCTTAAAAATCTTTTAGGCAACTTTAAATTATAGTCAACTTTAACTTTATCATGCATTGAAGTTTATCTATCTATATCCTTTCCAGTAGTTTACTTCAGTATTTTACTTTGTAGCTTGTATTTTTAAATTAACTTTTATAAGAATTTTTAATTTGAATAAAACTGTCTTTCCTCTTTGGCTGGTGGAGGAGACCATCCACCCCACCACAGAGATCTGTGAAGGATAAAGTGTACCTGAGAAGTCTGGTAGCACCAAGTAGGTGATTGAGGCCCACCTGCTACTTGGATGGTGACCCTGTGTTCCTCTGAGGTGATCTTGAAGGGGGCCAAGGTCCCAGGGCCACATCAGTCTTCTGCTGCCAGGCCCAAGAGGTCCATGAGGCCTTCACTCTGTTGAGAGTGGTAGTGGGAGACTGACCTACCTAGCAGAAACAAAGAGGGGCATTCGTCCTCCAGTGTCCATTCTGGCTACATTGTGGACAGGGTCCTGGTGGCAGGTGAGGTGAAGGGCATTTTTGCCCAATGTCTTGTCTGGTTGCACTTGAAGCAGGCCCCTGGAGGTGTGCATTGTTGTCTGGCCTGTCTTGAAGTTGGAGGAGGTAGCCTCAGGGCAGCCGCCAAGAGCTGGGCCTTTCGCTGGTATTGGGCCTCTTCTCGGCTATTACATACCTTAAATGCCATTTTCACAAGATCTCCCTGGGGGGTTTGAGGGCCACCCTCTGCCTGTTTAAGTTGTTTTAGAATATTAGGGAAGGATTGGGAAATAAAATGAGAGTTGAGATTAATTATTCCATCTTTGGTAGATGGGTCTCATGCCAAGTCATATCATATGCTTGGGTTAGGTATTAAATTCTTTAA